TCCCACAGATGCGTTCGAGTAGGAATTGCACTAATATGACCTGAACTGATCATGGTGGAAATGAAAATACATGAGTTACTTAGCCCTAAATCGTTCCGTTTCAATCGGTGAATACAGTACATGGGCATGGGCCTGTAAAAACTCACCCTATTAGCCATGGCTCAAAGCGAAAACTTAATTTTTTTATCATTACAACTAGCCTAACTTCACAAGCAAGACCATGAAAAATTTGAAACCCAGTTCACTGCATTACACAATCACTACGTGGAAGTAACCACGCTAGGCAAGACAGTCAGTGTTCTGGCACAGGTCAGTGAGGCTTTGGACTAGGAGACTTGCCAACTCTCGCCCTAATATCCTATCGTAAAATAATGTTTGTACAACTGGCTTCAACATCACGCCCCCTATTCGGCACCAATGAATCTCATTGCTGGAAATTGCCGCTACAGACACGCTGTATACATCCCAAATCTACAAACACCTGTGATAACTGTGGTGCAACAAAATGTGAACAATTGCGCTGCCCCGATGCTATGGTAGACTGTCTATTGCAGATTGCAGTCTATTGCAGTTTGGAGGCTATTGCAAATGGACGAAGAGATCTCGTAGGGTGCTTTTTCACATGCTGGGCACGCATTTAGGAGAAGGCATTTTTTTAATATTAAATGTCGGTTGTTGGTAGCCATCCTTGCGTCACCATCTGCACTTGTGCCTCTCGATTTCTTCCTTTTTGACATTTCAGTGGCCCTCTTTGAGTTAAAGTAAGTATGAACTTAAGCATGTACCAAGTACAGTCAAATCTCCTTATATTGAACCTCAGATCAACGATTTTCTTCAGATTAACAACTTTTTCAGAAATACCCCTCCAAATGTCCATCAGTTGATGTCAAAATGCTTCACTACTACAAATTTCAAAATACCAAATGATTTAGAATAACCCCTCATATCTCCACAACACTTCAAAATAACGAATAGGGTTTTTGAAAAGTTACACTTAGCAGCGAAAATAATGCCCAGCTGTGCGCTGCCACTATCATCATCATCACAACACATGCATACTTTTCTACGAGCCCGCCCTATTCAAATGTGTGATAGCCTTATCACACATTTATCACACATTTATCACACATTTATCACACTCACACGCCGCCGCCGCCGCCGCCGCCGCCGCTGCCGCTGCTGCTGCTGCTGCTGCTGCTGCTGCTGCTGCTGCTGCTGCTGCTGCTGCTGCTGCTACTACTGCTACTACTACTACTACTACTACTACTACTACTACTACTACTACTACTTGGCACAGCATTCCAACCAAGATTGCTGCCGTATGCCTTTATAACCATGCCATGCCTTGGCGGCACCGCGAAGGCAGTCGATGGCAATACTGTATTTACTCGCGTGATCCTCGCACTCGCATAATTCTCGCACTCCCACATCGCCCTACAAAAATACGATTTTTTTTCCTAAAGTAATTATCACACCCCCAAAAATTGCCGCAATAGTCTCGCCTGCTCATTCCAGCTGTTGATGATAGCACGCGCCATCTGATGCCATCTCTTAAGCATCAAGCCTACTATTATTGCACGGAGATTCAATCCAATCCAAGCCAAAGCGGCAAGTGTGCCTTGCGGCGTGTTTTCTATGTTGTGTCGGTAATGTTGTCAGGTTATGGGGCGATACTGAAGCTACACGGCTGATTTCAAGTATAAAGTGATTGATCATGCACTAAACAACGGCAACAGGGCCGCCGGTAGGCCCTTCAGAGTCGAGGAGTTTTGTGTTCGCTACGGGGGATGGCAGCTGAAAGCCATCAAGACGCATTGGGCCTGCACTGTGCCTAAGACTGGGAGTGATGGTAAACTTTATTTCTTCAGAAGGAAACTGCGGACGATTCTGTTGAATAGCCATCAGCCCAATACTGGCATCCTACCCTTACCGTTTGAGGGCTCCTGTTGAGTCACGAACGCTACCGCTATGCCCGCAATGCTCACAAGCTTTGAGTATGGTATCCTAATCCTCGACTATTTGCTTGCACTTTTTCTGTCTCAAATAAATCTTGCCTTGTGTTGAACCTCTTTTATTGTTGAGGTAAATTTTAATTAGTACTTCTCAAAGCTTGATGTTAGTTGCTGGTGTGAGAATCCCGATTTGCGGCCACTTCGTTTTCTTTTTTGCTCTGTAGGTTTCGTGTAAAGTTTTCCCGCGTAATTCTCGCACCCCCCAACTTTGCATCGGTTTTCGCCAAAAAAAGTGCGAGAATTATGCGAGTAAATACAGTAACCCATCTTCAGTTTTTTGGCCAGGCATAGAGAGTGCCGAGTGAGTTCGCTTTTTCAATCCCCCCGAATACGTCATCGTGAAAACCATGAAACTCTGGTATTGCCCAAATAGCCAGTGATGGCAGGACGGCGGGCGAGAATCCGGATTGTGCCCATGCCAAGCAGCACAGTTGCTCTCAGAGCTCTGTGAGGGAACGCCGGAGCTCGCATCGTTTCTCAGGTGAGCTGGCCTCGAAGGCATGTGTTGCGACTCCACCCAGCATGGCATCGATGGCATACAATTCAGAAAAGGCTGCAAATCAGAGGTGGAAGCTCAACGCTATTAAGGTGCTGGTCATGATGCGGAATTGCGCGATGGTGTGCTGCCGCTCCACAGCGCTGTTTGATGATCCGGCTGGAGAGACAGGACCAAAACTGTAAATGGCGTTCCTAGAGGAGCGGCACCTGCGTGTTGTCTCGTGAACAGTGACATTGGTGAACCGGTGTTGAACTCTCAAGGAGGCCTGGATGCCATCCACAGATGGTGCTTAAAGCGCCAACAGGTTGCCAGGTGTCAAGGAGGCATGTACATCACTCCTAGGCAAGAGGAGCCTGTGCGCATGGTTGGCGCAAGTATCGCGACGCCGGACAAGTTTCCTGAAACCATGATGGAGGCCTGGATGCCATCTGCTGCTGCTGAGATTGACACTTGCCTCGACAGCTGTCTGGCGGACTCCATCAGCGAAAAAGTGGCACGGTGTTTGTGAGAAAGACGTGTCAGAGCTCGGGTTCGCCAATGCCTTTCAACAACTGCGCCCTTGTCACGTAAGGAGAGAGAAAGGAGACACAACGCCCTAGCTGGTGGCCGGCTGCTCTCACTCAGCCTTCGTCTTTCTCTGCTTCGCGCTAGCCGAGCTCGCGCCAGTCATGAAGTGCCGCTCTTGCTTACTGTAATGTCGTTCCACACCATGCTGATGAGATCTACAAGAGGCAAAACATTAGCCTCACACCGGGAGAGGGTTACCAACCTTGCTCGTAGCACAACACTGCATTCATTGCATACCTGCCAACCTGGCAACAGAGAAATTTGTGAAACACCCCGAGCGAGGAAGGGGGGTGGGGGCTACCGATTTTTTTTTTATTTGTAGCTGTGATGGATTTGCCTTTAGCATAATCCTATTTTGCCGCCATACTTCCCCCCCTTTTGGCACAAAAAAAAACTTTAGCTGCAAAAAAAAAAAACACATCACAAAAAACAAGAAGGGGGGGGGAGGTCCCAAATGCAAGCGCAAACATCGGTGTTGCGGTCTCATGATGGCTTGGAGTGGCTGAACTCACAAGGGTAGGGTTTCCCACTAAGGTAAGTTTTTCAAAGGGGAAGCACAAATGCTCCCGAAATTTCGCGTCATCAAAACAACTAGCAAAAAAACTATTTCTGCAAAATAACTCGCGAATGTCTTCACATGTGAACGAACAGGACAACGCAGCTGGCTGCCGCGAAAGCGCGGGTCAAAGCTTTGGCTTTGCTCGCTACTAGACTCTTTTGGACAGAGATTCCAAAACACTTTCAGCCTTTTTTACGTCTTTACCGCCTTTAATCCTCCGCTGCGTCATTCGCATGCCCTCGAAGCTCGTAGATCGCGATCGCGTAGCCGCGACTGCGGTTTTGTGCACGGCGGTTGCGGCATTTTCAATCCACGTGCCTTCAAAACCAAGTCGTTTTATGCTGTCAATGATGGCAACTGCTGCGATTTTGTCCACAGAGTTTGCGGAAAGCAGCGTTGCTTTGACTTGTCGAGCGTTGGTCGCGTGCACACTTTCGTAGTTATGTCAGTAACGACGTCGCCATACATGATCGTTGGGAACGACCGCGGTTTCGTCTAAAGCGGTTGTGGCAACGACAACCACACGCACTGTGGAAGAGAGTGCATGTGGTGGCACATGTACTTTCGAAGCTTCGTGCACACTGCTCTCGATCGGCCTTCGTTTGATGGTTTCAGTACCGAAGTTCATATCACACCCCCCGATTAGGAAAATTGTTTGTAACATTTTAATTTTGGCCAAATGGACACATGAATTTGGCTGGAAATTTCACGAATTCGTATATGCTACAATTTTACATCACTGAGACTCTACTATAGTGCCTAGGCACTATAACTCTGCATTACGTTTAGATGAACGCCTTTCAAATTCGTTTATATCAAAATGAGGTGGGCTCACAAAACACCTGGAACAGACTGACCAGCATTTTTGACAAACGCGGCTAGATCTTGCACAGAAATTTTGATTTCCAAGAGATTTTCATGGCAACCGTACAAACGAAAGAAACAATCGAAATCCGGGAGTCTTTCGGGTAATGTGGGAGATTTGACAGGTATGTGACGATGATAACACGAATACATATTGTTCTCTCCTGGTAGCGGAATATAGCACAATGCTGTTTTTGTGCCTCTGTGACTAGCTATGGAAATGCGCTGTAGCTAATCGCGGATGCCACGCCGTTTTTATAATTTAATTTTTTTATAGGAAATAAAATATTTTCAGTAAAATTTCAGGCAAGACTCGTAAAATTGTAAGCGCAATCCAAATTCATACATTTTGTAGGAAAATTGGAAGAGTTGGCAGGTATGTCATTATGAGTCGGTGTTTACACGTTATTTAGAGAGTGTCACACTGAGGGAGGCCCAGAAGAAGTGCCAAGCAACTTGCATGTGGACCTGAAATAGAAGAAACTGGAAGTGTTCTTACCTGTGGTTGTAGCGCTTCAGCTTCTGGAGGCCATACTTGCTCTCGGCGCTTCCTTTAGAGACGGGAAGGCTTTCTAAGTTCAGCATCAGTTGGTTGATAGATGAGCGCAGCTCCTCAACGTGCAGGCTCTCCATCTCCTTGAGCACAAACTTGGGCATCAGTTTGCGGTTCTGCACAGAGTAGCAGAGCAGCTTGTACTCACTGGGCCCCCCCACAGCAGCCATTCTCAAACCTTCTCCATCTCGTTCACTTTCTGCACGCGGCCGTCCAGTTCCCTCCGGATGGCAGCAGCCTGCTCATCAGCGGAATCCAACTGAAAGGAAAGATTTACGTAGAATTTTTGTTTAAACTGCACTTCGACCACTTGTCAGTTCTAATTATGTGGAACAGAAAAACACATACCGAGGCTGTAAAAAAATTAGTAATTCGGTGCTTCGGTCTTGCTCATCCACCAAAGTGACTATGATCAAATCTGGGGGTGCATTTCCAGTGCATATCATTATCAGAATTCAGGCAGTAGCTCAAACAATCCCACGGATGGCTAAAGCAAGATAACACAAAGTGCTAACTTAGTGTTTATTACAAATGATCTTTCTCTCTCTCACTGTATACCTCACACACAAACACTATATGTAGATTTAAGTATGAGTGAGCTGTTAACACTGCACCCCATCTGTTCATGTTTGCACTACTGCCTAAATTATACACTACCAACTAGCCTATCAGTCTTGCCTTTTGTACCATGATTGCTGATTCATGTGCAACCATGGCTCTACTATCAGCTTAGACAAATTAACTTCATAGCTTTGCTTCCACTTGCAGCAGTATAAGTGCGTGCACACACAAAGGCATTTGATACACTTGCTGGCTGCATGGTTGCCTGGTCTGCCATTTTGGCAGATTCAGCCTTACAGGAAAAGCAAAGTCTTTGCCTGCACTGACCAAATACTAGGGGTTCCATAAATCCATCAGGGATTTATAGAATCTAACCTGATCTAACCTCCTGCCATAGTTTACTAAACGAGAAAATTAATATACTTTGTACTTAGGATGTGGCGAATATGCACCTTTACAAGCAATCATTTGCGCACCCTGTGTGTATGTGCCGAGTAGTCTTGACTTATGCTCACAGTCTGTAATGCCACTTGGAAGTTTTCCAAGACAAGAGATCTTTTAAACAGAACTGTGTAGTGGAGATGCATTCATACTTCGCCTGCTTTGGGTGTGTAGAAGTTTCAACACGGGTAGCAACATTGATTCCTTAACAACAATTGGGAAAAAGCACCTCAACGCAAGTTATGCTACGGATCTAAAACGCAGGGGTACAAGTGCTACGCCAATTGCACCATTCTGCACCATTCTGCACCCATCTGACCTGCTGCGCATAAATGGCAATTTCCGTGATAATTGTCAATTAGAAGTGTAAAAGGCCAAATTTAGCCAATTATTATCATTGTATGAGCAACACTGAGTGTTGGATACACCAAGGACGCAGTTGCATTCATATCCAGTGGAGTGCGATCACATTGTAATTTTGTTCATTCAAAGAGCTCTTATTGCTGTGATCGCCGTGGTTACCCTGCGAACGTGGTGGCACCAGCGTGAGTAACCGTTCATTATCTAGTACACTCAAACCTCATTGTAACAAAGTTGCATCTTACATGAAAATATTTTCCTTATATGCCAAAATTCGGCCTAAAGGTCTATTCCTAACAATATATCTATTGCAAAACAATTTTGTATTTATTTCGTTATAAACAATATTTTGTTATAACCCCATTCACTTTATCGAGGTTTGAGTGTAATACAGTAAAACTTCGGATGATTTATGCCAGGTGGGAGCACGACACGATCGTGCACTAAACGGCAATGTGCGTTTACAAGTGCAAATGCGCATTTCCTGACTTGCCCAAACACCACCACAAAACGAATACAGTACCGCAACAGATGTCCGCCAAAGTACCTAACAGAATGTATTTTCTTCCTTTTTGCCAGAGTGCGAAAAATATCACACGGGGCTGCCACTCTCGCACTATTGTCTTAATTTGCGCAGTGGCGACGCCAAGGAGCATTTTAAAACTATTACAGGGTCTGAGATATGCAACGGCTGAAATAGCAACCGAAAGGACACTATCAGCTTTCGGCCATACACACGTGTGCTTTTTTACTGCGATTTGATAATAAGAGACAAGTGACAGTTTCATTGACACACGGAGTAGTGACGTGGACTTGCATCATCTCCTGGTTAGTTGCGTGCAGCGTAGCGCCTATGCTGCCTAACCCTTGCTGTCGGGCGGCTCGCTGTACTGTGCACGCGGATTTGCTCTGTGAATTGCTCGTCCCCAGTCCGAGCGTTGATGAGCAGAGTAGTGTGTTTGATGAGCGTCCGGATAACAAACTTAATTTAAGCGAAGTGCACCGTGAGTATATATACGCTGTTTCACACATCAGGTGCAACATTGTGGACTGGCAAGACTCCTTATAGTAAATACATTCGCGTAAAGAAATATTTTCGTGTATTATTGCGATAGCAAGTATATGACTCTCTGCTGGATTTTGCTGCCATCGAGCGCCGTCATTCATCATATAAGTATATGTATCTATATATATATATATGAAAACGCACGATTGAAATATATTTCAGAAAAAGACTCCGGCACGTGGAATCGAGCGTCTAACCTCTTGCTTGTGAGTGCAAGGCGCTAGCCACTGAGCCACGAAGGAGTACATCCGTCAAAGTTAAAACAGCAAGCTATTTATATTGTCGCGGGTTATAAATTACAGGGGGTTTATTTAAAAACACGGACAGTGGGACTTAAAGAGACGCTCTCAGAGAAGGCCGCTAAGATTGTCGTCTTCTTCACTCTGCTGCGCTGCGCCTCTCGAGCAAATCCGCGTTTTTCGTTGTCGTCGCTATCTCGCCGCTAAATGCAGCTATGCACGCGGCATTACCCTCCCGCCAGAGTGAGCGTCGTCTCGACGCTCAACAGGTAGTGATGCAGCCATCGAGTGTTTACATCACTGAGAGTGGTAAAGTTTCATGCGGACCACGTGCACTGTTTCAGGCAGATGCTGGCGACGTTTGAAACAGGAGGAGGCGTCGGGCACGACTTCGTACGTCACGTCGCTAAGAGGGCGCAGAACCTTGTAGGGTCCAAAGTATCGGCGTAGAAGTTTCTCTGAGAGGCCTCGTCGTCGTACAGGAAACTAAACCCAGACTCTATCTCCTGGTTGATAAATAACGAATCGATGGCGAAGGTTGTACCGTTGGGCGTCAAGTTGCTGCTGGTTCATTATTCTGACGCGGGCAAGCTGTCTTGCTTCTTCGGCACGCTCAGTGAAGTCTGCGGCGTCTGTCCCTGAGTCATTGCAATCGTAAGGCAGCATGGCGTCAAGCATTGTCGTAACTTCTCTGCTATGAATTAGTGCGAACGGCGTCATTTTTGTTGTTTCCTGGCGCGCCGTATTATACGCGAATGTGATGTACGGCAATATTCGGTCCCAATTCTTGTGTTCTACGTCGACGTACATGCAAAGCATGTCAGCGATTGTCTTGTTAAGTCTTTCTGTAAGCCCATTCGTTTGTGGGTGGTAAGCTGTCGTCTTCCTATGCGCTGTGCCACTGAGCGTAAGCACAGTGCGCAAAAGCTCGGCTGTAAACGCGGTACCTTTGTCTGTTATGACGACAGCTGGAACACCATGTCTCAGAACAATGTTCTCAATGAAGAACTGGGCCTGCTTCAGCTGCAGTGCCACTCGCGATTGCCTTGGTCTCCGCGTATCGGGTGAGGTAGTCCGTCGCCACTATAACCCATTTGTTGCCGCTGTCCGATGTTTGGAATAAGCCCAGCAAATCCATTCCGATTTGAGAAAACGGGGTTTCTGGCACGGGCACAGGATGTAATAGCCCAGCGTGTTTGACAGGTGGTACCTTGCGCCGCTGACAGTCAATGCATGTTCGGACGTAATGTTTAACCTCTGCTGTGATTCTTGGCCAGTAATATTTTTCTTTGATGCGTGTCAGTGTTCTTGTGAAACCGAGGTGGCCCGCAGTGGCTTCGTCATGGCAGGCTCGTAAAATTTCGCTGCGGAGAGCTCCAGGAACTACCATCAGATAGCTTCTACCTGTTGATGAAAAGTTCTTTTTGTACAGCATTCCGTCCCGTAAACAGAATGACAATAAGTTTTTCGAAAACACTCTTGGTGCACTGGCGGCTCGTCCGTTCAAGAATTCTATAAGCGAGTTGAGCTCCCGATCATCTTGTTGTTGCCGAGAAATGATAGCTGCATCAACAACTCCTAAATAACCTGGGAAATCATCATCCTCTATAGCCGGTGATTCAATCGGTGACCTTGACAAACAGTCGGCGTCTAAGTGTTGCCTTCCGGACTTGTAAACTACGGCCATGTCGTACTCTTGGAGCCGTAAGCACCATCGTGCTAAACGTCCAGATGGGTCTTTCATGTTGGTCAACCAACAAAGAGAGTGATGGTTGCTTACGACTTGGAAAGCGCGGCCATATAAGTACGGGCGGAACTTCGCAACTGCCCAAACGACGGCCAGATACTCCTTCTCCGTTGTTGAGTAGTTGGACTCGGCGCGTGTCAATGTTCTGCTGGCGTAGGCAACCACTCTCTCCACACCATCTTGGCATTGGACAAGAACAGCACCTAGGCCCACATTGCTGGCGTCTGTATGGATGGCTGTTGGTGCATTCTCGTCGAAGTGAGCGAGGACAGGTGGAGTTTGTAGACGCTGTCGCAGCTCGTTGAATGAAGCTTCTTGCTCTTCACCCCATACAAATGCGATGTCTTCCCTTGTAAGGCGGGTGAGTGGAGAGGCGATGTGTGCGAAGCCTGCTATAAATCGCCGGTAGTAGGCGCAGAGACCCAGAAAACGCCTGACCGCTTTCTTATCAACAGGCCTTGCGAACTTTGCGACGGCTGCTGTTTTATCTGGGTCAGGCTTCACACCTTCGCGACTGGTCACGTGTCCCAGAAACTGGAGTTCTTCGAAGCCGAACTGGCATTTTTCCGGTTTGAGTGTGAGTCCAGCGGACTGTATGGCTTGAAGGACTGACAGTAGCCGCTTTAGATGCTCTTCAAACGTGGCCGAAATAACGATCACGTCGTCGAGGTACACAAGGCATGTTTTCCATTTCAGGCCGGACAGAATGGTATCCATTAGTCTCTGAAACGTGGCTGACCACAGCACCGTACTCTCTTAAGAAGTCCATTCCCAGTATCATAGGTTTGCAACACTGCGGTAGGATCAGAAATGTGGCTACAAAAGCCACATTCTCAACAGTGAGTCTTGCTGTACATTTTCCCGTGGGAGTCATTATCTGGCCTCCAGCACTTCTGATATAAGGGCCCGTCCATTCCATCCTGACTTTCTTCAGTTCATCTGCCAATCGTTCACTCATTATGGAGAAGTCTGCACCCGTATCGACTAAGGCCGTCACTTCAACGCCGTCAATCGTCACAGCGAGGTCGGCAGTCACAGTTTTCTCAGCGAAGTCTTCATCGTCGTCTCTCAAGTGTTTCGGCAGCAGTGGGGGATTTTCGGCAGTTCGACGGCTTGCAACCTTCCCCCAGAGGTCGCTGCTTTCAGTTTTCCCGCCGTGGGCTGGGAGACCGACCTCTGACGGCGTCAGCAAAACTACGGCGGCTTGGTGAACCAAAGCGAGCCGGTGATGGTGACCGCGTCCGGAAGGTAGAAGAGCCTTCCCGCCTGCCAGCCTGGTCGTCGTCGATGGGGGCACAGCTTTCGTTGAACTGTCGGCGCGTAGCTGTAGGTGCACTACCCCGGTATTCAGCTCGGCGATGAGGGCGAAAACGGTAAATGTGCCCTGGCTCTCCACAGTTGTAGCAGAGTGGTCGATGATCCGCAGTGCGCCATATAGGCGGTCTTCCGCATATAGGGTCTGACAGAATCCTGCTGAGCCCAGACTGCCACAGGATACGGTTCGAGGTACTGCGGCGCTGGCATGGGCGTGGGTCGACCAACAGCGTCTGCATAGCTGTATTCGTTCAGCTGGTATGATACTTCTGGAGCCAATGGACGACGCACAGCGTCTGCATAGGTACACGAGTTTGGACGGTGCGGTGGAGCGGAATATTGCTGAGGAGAGGCAAACGCTTGTCGAAGTTCATGGCGAACGACTTCAGCGACGGAGGCTACCGTGGACTCCTGCTGCGGGGGCACCTGTAACTGCAATGTGTATTTTGCGTTCTCCTTTGCGATCTCCTCACGCACAATCTGTCTAATCAGGTGGCGTAGAGAAAACTCGTCATTTTCGGTAAGTGCGGTGACGCCTGCAGCTGCGCCGGTGGCCGGGCGATCAGACTGTCGGTACCGTTGCTGTAGCGCACGCTCTATTGCGGTGGCCTCCCTGGTGAACTCGTCCACTGTTGTCGGCGGATTGCGCACAAGACCAACAAATAGCTGCTCTTTGACGCCCCTCATGAGATAGCTTAGCTTTCGAGCCTCGGGCATGTTGGGGTCTGCGCGGTGGCACAAGCGCACCATATCCTCAGCAAACATTGCGACGCTTTCATGCAGCTGTTGGGTGCGTCCTTCAAGAAGGCGTTGTGCGTTTTCGCGTCAGTCCGCGTTACCGAAGGTGTCAAGAAACCGGCGACAAAACTCCTCCCATGTCGTCAATGTTGCCTCCCGGTTTATAAACCACGTCTTCGCGCCGTCTTCAAGGGCGAAGTATACGTGGAAGAGCTTTCCATCGAGACTCCAGTAGTTCGATTTAGCTACCCGTTCGAACTGCTCAAGCCAGTCTTGCGCATCTTCGTTCGGCCGGCCATGAAATGGTTCAGGAATGCGCATATTCTGGACCGTCACCTGTGCAGGACTCCTTGCCATTTCTTGAGTAGGGGTGGTTGTCGGAAGTGTTGTTCCCTTTAAAAGGCCAAATTCTGGTTCAAGACCTTGAAGGCGACGGCTTGAGCGGTGCACAGGCGTCTCCACGCGTGGCTGTCTCGTAGGGCTGGACTCGGGACTTCTCACAGGGGCGCTGATCATGAGGTGGTAGTACCCAGCACTTCCACCAGTGTCGCGGGTTATAAATTACAGGGGGCTTATTTAAAAACACGAACAGTGGGACTTGTACGAGACGCTCTCAGAGAAGGCCGCTAAGATTGTCGTCTTCTTCACTCTGCTGCGCTGCACCTCTCGAGCAAATCTGCGTTCTTCGTTGTCGTCGCTATCTCGCCGCTAAATGCAGCTATGCACGCGGCAATATCTACCACTTGCCACTGGTGATCTCGGGAAAACTGTTGTTTTTTCAGCATTACCAGTGAGATGGCGCAATGAGCGTGCATCGCCAGATCGTCACAACGCGGCAACGCGCGCTGGTGCGTTCATCTGATCTGGAGTCAAACGTGCTACCGTTGCGCCACCGGGTCACGATGGTGCGTTCATCTGATGCAAGGGTGGGGGTAGACGTTTACGTGTCCGATCCCTTACCTCCTGGTGGGGAGAATCGTATGCCTCGACTTTCGCCAGAACGATTCTGTTGTAGTTACCGGGTGCACAAAGATTACAGCACTCGTTGCACAGTCTCCGTTTGCGGAAAGGGCACACTTTTCAGACACAGGGAAGTAACAACTGACACACTTATTCGCGTTCATCTGTACATGTGAATACGTTTCGTGCGTCATTTGTGAGATGAGCAACGTTTTGATCTGCTAGCCATTTTTCGTGCAACATTCCAATTTCTTGCTATCACATTCATTGCTTCGCCTTTGCGGTAAAAGCTCTGCCTTTTTTACTGCCCAGAATACATCTTTCCTTTAGTGTCTGGCTGAGTATGAAATGGGCATGTTTTTTATCACACACACACGCACACACACACATGTGAGAAGTCTGGAAAGCTCATTAGTACTGAATGTTTAGTAAAAACAATGGGAATTTTTTTTACCAGCAATAGTTTTGATTGAAAATGAAGTTTGACCCTAGAAAGCAGCTTAAAAAGTAACTCGCGCTGTTCCAAAACACAACTTTTGGTGCTGCGAGCGTGCTTCAAAACTCCCCTTTTACTGCGCCAAAGCTGCTCCAAAACGGCATTATTCCTGCTCCCTCAGCTGCTCCAAAACACTGAGGTCCACTTCCACCCCTGAAAACAGGTTCTTGAGCAAAAAACCAACTATGCCCATGCTGCACTGGCAACAAACTTGGGCTTTTTCTTCTGCACAGAGTGAACGAAAGCTCAACTTTCCGGTGATAATTCATCCTAAAAGGCAATACCACTGTCCGACAAGCACTTTGAATCGTGATCGGTGCCGATCCAGATCAAGTGCTGCTTTAAGTTCACTTTTATTTGCGATTAGGCCTGATTGTGATCAAGGCGATCGCTCCCTCCTCATGGTGATCCTACTCTGTGATGGCAATATGGCTTATGTAGCAGCGACCAAGTAACTGCAATAGTCTGAGAGGAATCAAAAGAGTGACATCGGTATAAGGCACGCAAACACAAACACATTCAGGCTGGTTGATTAAGGTTTGGTTCACAGACCCATGGTTGCAGACAGCAAGAACAAGCAAGCGATACAGTAAGAATAGCCACCCAGAGAGCGCATGAAGGCCATCACGTATCAGCACGGCATTTGTCTGTGTCACAAAAAGAATTGTCGTTTCTAGAGAAGCACATGTTTATGCCGAAAATTCATGCAATGCTTTATTGCCTGTTTTGATGAACTTTCACAGGACATATTGTCATGACGTGGACAAAGGGAGTAGACTCATATTTAGATGAAACTGTTTATTCGGCCATAGTTGTGGCCAGGACACTGTAGGTCAGATTACAGCAGCACACGGGCACTGATAGTGGTGAACAAAGCGTCGGCCGTCAATCAACTGACATGCAGTGATGCGCGACGGCATTTATACATGTGTCGTCGAATATTCTAGCCTTATCACTGGTCCTCGCGTTACGGAATAATCCTCGAGTGTTCGCGTCTAGCGGGCAATCTTAACAGGATGATCTACATGATCGCGAACATTCTCGAACAATAATGCGAAGTTTGCGTTGAGCATTCCTGACCCACACTTTGGAGTCGAAAACAAAATCGATCAAAAGATAAAATAAGAAATGCGCATGGCAATATATACCTGCTGTGTGCATGGAAATTTCATTTTAAAGTCAGCAGTTGTCCGTGTTGTTTTCTTTTCGCCCTCATGTATATTTGCATCGTTTGCATTCCCAAATACAGAACTATTTGTTTGTCGTGTCGCACTGGACAAGTGGTCGCCAACTATTCCTTTAATAACACTTCCAAGACCTTGCAAGATAGCAGAACTTATTTGTAACATTCAGTGCCCCATTTCTAGCACCAAGATTTGCTCTATTGGTAGATGGAGTGAATAAAACTGATACGGAGGCGGCGAGATCACACTAAGAAGGTTCGGCAGAGTAAAGACAAATGCGTCCCGATGGCTTCGTGCTCCAAATGGGTGGTTGTCAACTATTTCTTTTCAAGATTTTACTTTACAGCACTGCTGTACACCCCAGCATACAATTAGATGTGAATCATTGCGAAGTAAAACTTGCCACTGACTTGCCAACTCGAAAAAGTGGGCAAAAGATGAAAAATAACAGCATTTCAAACGCTTGTTGCTCTGTCTTTCCCTGCTGTAAGACAAGTTGGCACAATAAAAAAAAAAGACCCAAAAGCCAAAGTGAGAGCAGCAATTAGATATACCTGTAGAGCATTGTAGAGTAGCTGGTGCTCAAACTTTTTGATGTTGAGCACCCCCTGAAACATCTCGTACAGCTGTTCTTTGGACAGCAGCAGCTCAGAGGCCAGGCCGTGTGGTAGCAGGGTGCCCGCACGACCCTGCTGCGTTCGGCTGCATTTAAGGGACACTTGTGAGGAGCAGGAAATGCACCAGCACTGCAGCGCAAGCTTACCTGCGGGTGTCTTCATCCCCGCGAAAGATGGCGTCAAACTTGGTCATCCAGGAACCCAAGACGGTCTCCTTGGAGAGACCATCCATTTCAGGCAGGCTGCGCACACGCTTGTCAACGTTGGCACGGAAGACCTCGCGAAAATCGTGCGCGGAGCAGGCCCCACTGGCCACCATGCGCTGGACTCGTTCACTTTTGAGGAACACTTCCACGTAGCTGTGCACCGCATTCTGGAATGCCTCGTCCGCCGCTATCTGCGTCTCCCCTTTGAGGAATGCCTGCACAGAAGTTCAGCTGACTCAACAAAATAGATGAGGAAATTGGTGTCAAAACTGAGTCGACAAACAACACTATGTGGCGGTCCCGGCAAGGAGCTATATAGAGTGCCTTAGAAAAGATACAGTTAAAGCTCCTAGAATTTCATGAGGCCTAAATAACTCAATGCAAAATTATGAAAAGTTAATGAGAAAACTTTAAACAATTGTCTATTGCATCAATACACTTTCATTTCAATACACTTTCAAGTACATCAATCCTGTATTTTGCATAAGTGGAATTGCAAAAGTCGCTATTGTGACCATGGCTAAAGACTTCCTTGTCTTAACTAACCTGAAACACACTAGCCTTACCCGAAAGTTGTTACCGGCATTACTGTAAGGTTTGCACTGATGATGATTGTGACATAGATAGCGACACCTTGTTTCAAAGGCCCACAAACATCGCTTTTGCTCGTTTGCATCACACTATAGTGATGATTCAATCTTGGCGCCCTCTTAAGATTGTTCGAATTAACTGCATTGTGGCCAAATATGATAGAATTAATGCTATTCAACAATACATTGTGAGAGCTGGCCTGGGCCAAGGCCGAAGACAGAGGCATGGCGGATGAGACAGATTATCGACTGAACACGAAGAACCTGTGCGTGAGAGTGCTATACAAGGGCTGGCAAGGTAACACACATTCAGCGTGTCCAAGGAGCTCACAGTTGGCCCCAGCTCTTGCATTCACTCTGGCTAGGAGACGAAGATGCGACGAAAAGGAAATGCCAATGAGGCGCTGCCATGTATCAGGCAGCTAGCAAAGTAAGGACTGCCTTGGAGAGGCTGTACGCTCCCATCTGGCCCCACTTTTTAGATCAAACTCCTGTTTGATTGGGAGATATAAAGTGAAGAATGTACAATGTTGGCCCGCAATGGCAATGTTCATATGGCTGGGAGCAAGAAAGCGAGTCATCAGGGTGGTGGTTGTATCTCATGTGAAAGCCAATCCTCCTTCCCTGATAGCACAACATTTTGCTACTACATAAGAGCAATGCTTCGAATGTTGTGTTTTGCTGCACAACGTTGGACAAGTAATTAACATTGCTGTAACAGTCATAACTGTCAAAAAGTTGACATTTCTTTCTGCCAATGTTGATGAAATGTTACTAAGCAATGTTAACGTAATGTCGGTAATAGATACTACGGCAACATTATTCAGTCAACGAACCTTGAAAAATCACATCGAAACATGTGCCTATGCAGTTAGCAAGAAAGGTATGCACACAGAAATGCTGCACGATATGTTAAAACAGCAAGTTGTGTCTTTAAGCTGCGAAAAAAGGTTCACAATTTCTCTGCCGCAATCACAATATTTTCTTCAAGTGCATCGCATGCATTTTTTTTTACCTTTCAACTTTCCTGACTTGCCATCACTCACGAACATGTACTCAAGCAGAAGCGATTAATTAATGAGATAACTATTTGCCAAATTAACCGCAGCACCACGAGTTAGCATGCTGACTTCCCTGATTCGAGCTCGTGATACGGCACACGATGCAACTGTGATTGTATCCTCAGGTTCATCACTTAAAAGGCACAGCATGCAAAAAATTGAGGCCATGGTTTTTTTTTTCCTAAATTATTATAGCCTGTTGTGGCATTTGTGATGTGAAAACACAAATTCCTTCCCAATGTAGCACTGCCTCTGAGATTTGTTTTTATATTCAATGATTTATTAATTGACAACTAAGCAAACTATCCGCTATGCGTCATAAAGCATAAACATATTTTATAACGTGTTCATTTGAGAATAATTTGTTCGTGTAATTTGTTGAATGACATTTTTTTTAATCAGCTTACGAACATCGTAGAGGACATTGTTGTGCTGTTTGCGCGCAGCGAAAGTTTGTGACACCATCTCGGATATGACGTGAGGCGAATGTACAGCCAACTAAGAACAAACTAGCTCAAGCCAACAAAAGCAACTTAACTGAGTTGCGTGAAAAAATTTAAAGTACAAAAAAAGACACCTGGACACAGCGTACTGTGCGCTGTGTCCAGGTGTCTACCTTTTGTACTTAATTTTTTTTTTTTGCATAACTTAGTTAAGATAGATTACCAACTCGCCCAGCAGGCCATGCTTCTCAAGTAAAAAGCAACTGCTGAGCATTAATTTTTATCTAAAATTTTCCATGAGCACATGTTTCAAGCAAATGCCCACATTAAACGTTGCACCAAACTAATAAAGCAGCACAACCCAACGCCACTCTGGCGTCAGCTACTACGCCGACAGGGCTGACCAGTACGCCCGCCGCTCAAAAACACGTTTTTCAGCTCTTTTGTGAAGCGCCCGCAGTGCTGGCTATTTTTCTCATTCTGTGCAAGTGCGACCTTTGTGATGGTCTTCTGTGATAGCTTCCTGCAGCATGGGGAGGGTGGTAAGTCCTCATTTTGGTGTATTTTATAGTTCTCTCAGTTGACTGTCTGAACTTTCACGAACTCCTTGAGTGCCATGCAGCTCGCAGAGCGCCGAGCTGTTATTCATACTCCGCGAACAGGTAGTTACACAAAAAAATTGTGACCCGGTTAAGGGCAGCTGCTTAGGCTAAACAGACACCGAAAACACCGACGTCGTGCGGACACAATTCGACTTTGTGCACCGTGAATCGATACCCGCATGTATACCTGAAAAACTTGAAATGGGGGCATGATTGTGTCAAGGAAATGCTCTTAACAGTGCAACTATATATATGTATGTATATAAATCGCTGACCCAGTTCGCTACCGCATGCGTTGAGGTTTTTGAGGTTCATTCACGTACCTGTCTAGCACGCGTTGGGGGGGAGTGGTTTTAAAATAGGAGAAAGGAGAGAAAAGTGACCCCTGCAACTGTCTGCAGCTAAGTGCGACACTTCAGCAGTCGAAACCTCTTGTCAAAAGTTTTGAACATTAAAAAAGATATCTCTAGAAATGCCATTACGAATCCCTGGATTAGCTTTGACAACATCAAATTTACTATCTCTAGGTGCACATACTCTTGGGCACAGCAATGAAAAAGTGTGCAAGGCCGTGCAAGATTTAATTGAACAGTAGAAGATATTTACTGAATAACCTCAATACCAAAAGGTTCTCAGTTAACCAATGTAGGCTACAGGAAAATTCTCTTTGATATCAATCATTTATTGTTATTTCAGTGAGAACTAATTCATCCAATTTTTTTCTCATGAATAATTTGCAAAAAAATCAATATTTGCGTTATTATTCTTTTTGATAGTATATAAATATATACATACCTTTTTTTGTTAAGCTACCTGATTCTTGGCCGATCCACCAGGGCGGTTGTGAGCCACAAATCTAGGCTCTACATCTACATCTACCTCAGCAGTAGCTCACAAGGATAAGGAGGAATTAAAAAGAATAGAGCGAGACGTAAAGATTGAGTAAAAGAAAAGATTGGGACACAATTGAAGTAGCCCGAGGATGAGGCACCACTCGACGTGAGCTACACGGCACCAGAAGTTCGCGGACGGTGCGCGGATCGATGTTAGAGACTGCGGACGACACAACCGTACAGCACGGAATCCACCAAGCGAGTTCGTTGCACGTGTTGATGCAGCACCTTTATTAAGTGTGTGTAGTGCAATGTTGCAGAGTGGCACCGTAATTCCATTCCAGTTCCATTCTGCGAAATTAGGGCTTATTGCGATTCCATTCCTTTTAATTCCTCAGAATTAAAAAAAAACTTAGCCTATTCCTATTACAAGAATGGCCAGGCAGCTCAATTCCATTCCTATAATTCATCAATGTAGGAAATGCATCTTGATAGTTTTTTGAGGTAATAATAAAGCTGGTGTCACGAGATGCATCAAGAACTGCAGAAGTACGCAAAACATGTTAAAAAGCAGAGAGATAGTAGCTTGGTATCATATCTCGTATTGTAAAACCCACTAACTGCTTTCCATAGGAGTGGTTGTCCCGCTGCATATTAGTATTTGCATGGTGAGCATGTTTGAAAAAAATGTGATGTTTTAGTAATGTTTAAACTTAAATGTGCTAATGCTGAAATGACGATAGCATATATTTGCGCTGACAAAAGTAATGTTCAAGAAGGCTGACCTGTTTTGTAAAGCATGTGGAGTGGTCGTGAATATGAAAAAAAATTTGGATTTATTAAAATTCATTTAGTGGGGCACGACACCCTCTAGATCTGCTAGTATTAGAAGAAACAGTGCACCACAGCTTCTGCCTTTGCATCGAATCCAAAACTATGAGCTGCACTGCTCGTCAGCAGTCACGCTTGTAAAGAGGGCGCCTCGCAAACATGGGTGGGGCGAGGAGGACCTTCTGTGTTTGCCTGCACACGCATATGCAATGTCTTTCTTGTCGCAAAGGTTATTTACGTGTGTCAGGTCATAAACGACTTGTGAGATAAAAAGCAGGCAGTACATTCGGTATTTCCACTTTCGTGTGAGATGTCAATGTCAACCAACTTGCAGAGATAATTTGTTTCTCCCTTCAGTAATTGCTGGGATAATTCATTTGTTTGTACACTAAATTATGCTTTGGCTTCTCTGTTACAAATTGGCAGATTGTTCCCACTTTTACACCACGCCAACCCTTGGCTTTGGCTAACTAAAGATGAACCTAGAGATTGTGTTGTGGCCTTTCACTTCGATAGAACATGCACTAAGGCCTACATGACTACTTTTGAATGTGATATTACAGCAGTAGCAATTAAGGGTGTACCAAAATACGTTCCTCCCCAATGTCCTCTTTGTTTGGCAATGCGAACACGGATATATGCCGACTCGTAGGAACAGAGCGAAGTTGTGAAAAAAAGATAAAAAATATCGATAATAATGAAATGATCCCACGCAAGAGCAGTGAGAATGCAGGATGGCCAGCTATCTGCTCGAGATTCAGGAACGCCTCATCTCCTCGGCTTGATCTCCCGAATGCCTCATCTTACGAACACGTTCTGCAATTGTTAACTATAGTTCTTTGGTGACCAGGCTTG